CAATTATTTCTTTTGTTGTAATGGAAAACAAATGAAAAAGAGGGTACAAATTGTTGAATTCCAAAAGCATCACCGCCCATAACAACTAACACAGTAGTGGGGACAAATTATTTTGAACACCACCCATTTAATTTCCCTTGCAACCCAAATCCGTATGATTTATACGGAATTATACGTCATATTAATAAAATCTCACAATAATTGCATAACATCAAATTAATAGATTTACTTTTAAAAGTGTCTCAAATGGTTAAGAATTTAATTTTTTAAATTAAAAATTTTAAATTCAAATTTTAAAATAATTGGTGAAAAATAATGAAAGAAAAAAGTTATTTTTTATTGTATAATTTATTATCCGATAAAAATAAATAGATATATATTGATTCACATGTCTTTATAAATAGAAAATTTTAATTATAACTAATAACACCTAAAATTGTCAAACTTTATTATGATATTAGAACTCCTCATGAAATTGTTTAAATATTGATTCACATGTTTTGATAAATATAAAAACTCAATTATAAATATTAACACCTAAAATTATCCGACTTTATTACAATGTTAAAATTTCTCGTGAAATTGTTTAAATATCTTTAGCAAATTCTTTTATATATTAATTTATTAAAAATATTTTAATTTTTTTATTATTATTCTTAACACGTGAATTGTAAAGAAATTTTGATTTTCCTCAATTCCAATTAAAAATTTTTGTCAATAAAATTATTTTTCTGAATAAATATTAGCTTTCCAACATCCTCTAATTCCAATCAAAGCCTTTAGGAAACAAAGTGGATCCACGGATCTAGTACATATAATGTTAAATAAAAAATATATTTTTTAATTTTGTTTCATTTTAAAAAAAAAGTATTTTGGAATGAATTAAATTGATTTGATTTCTTTAAATGGGTTGGATTATGGGTGTCATGTGGACCCAGGTGAATGATCATTCATTTTAATCCAACTGTTTAATGGTCTAATTAGCCAGAAACCAGTAATGGATTTCAAATCCATTTGGAATTTCTTTCAACCGTTTTTAAAATCAAGTCAAAAATTTCTGTGTTTTTTTTCGATGAATAAGTCAAAATATTCTTGTTTATACAAATTCATCAGACGGAATTTTGGAATTTTGCTCATCTAAATCACCCACGTCACTGGACTTTCACCAACGTTTGAACTTGG